CCCACACACACACATTACATTATGGAAACAATTGTTGGAAATTAGGAACAATTGTACAGGGGGAGGGGAAAGACGCCACATCAACATTTTGGATACACCTGCCAGTCTTGCGATCCAGGGCCGCTAAACAGCCGTAACCCTGCGCCTCGGCCAGCGTGTTTTCAGCTTTTGTTGCTCTCAGTTCCTTGTTTTAATTTTTGTATGAGCATAACTGTAAGTAAAGAGCTTTCTGCACATTCTACATTGATCTCTTAGTGTATGAGCACCCTTAAAGTTCCAAATAAACATTATCCATAATAACACGGCATATAACATACATAGTCATCAGCTTGGGGATTTGCTTGTTTCGTGGCATGTCTGGAGTTTGGAGCAAAAGGATGAATTAGAGAAAGGAGCTTTGAGACTCACCTCAGACCCTCATTTGCCTGGCGTGTCTGAGCTTTGGTTTCTTCAGCCATGAAGTCAGTGTAGCCTGGATGAAACCACCACTCCACGTGGGCGCGGATGGCGGTTGCCCCACTCACAGGGTTGGAAGTCTGGGAGGAAATACGCCGACAGACGTTCAAACCCTAGATAGACGTTTGGGGTCAGCACTGGTGGTCCATGAGGTCCTGAAGGTTGGCGACCCTGATGGAGATCAACTCGAATCACGCTGGGCTCTCCCACTTACCGACTGCGTGACATCGGTCTCCTTGGGCCTCATCTCCGACCCCCATTTGCCTGGCGTGTCTGAGCTTTGGTTTCTTCAGCCATGAAGTCAGTGTAGCCTGGATGAAACCACCACTCCACGTGGGCGCGGATGGCGGTGCCCCACTCACAGGGTTGGAAGTCTGGGAGGAAATACGCCGACAGACGTTTAAACCCTAGATAGACGTTTGAGCCCAAATCAAAGGAGGCGGGAGAGGTTCATTCTTCCCTCTTTCATTCTCAGATTGTCTTCCAGGAGGGGCAGAAGCTCCTGAGATAACTCCTCCTCCACCTCTGCCTAGCCCCACCCCTCTTCCTGGCCCCACCCCCTCGGCCTGGCCCCACCCCCTCTGCCTCTAGCCCCACCTCCTCTGCCAGGCCCCTCCCCCTTCCTGACTCAGCCTGGGCAGCTCTCCTGCGGGCTCCCTCCCTGCCAAGCCTCCAGCCACAAGCTGCTCTCCATGGCTCCGTCTCCTTCTCTGAAGCATCATCTGCTCCACCTGGGGTCCTGGCGAACAAATGCCTCACCTCCCACCGCCACTAGTTACTACATCGTCACTCCTCACCAAAGGAAGCCCAGTACCCTTCCAAGCTACTCAGGGCAACCCAACCCACCACTGTCCTCTCCTTTGGGTGGAGTGGGGTGCCCCGAGGGGGTGCCCTGAGGGGGTGCCGGCCCTACGGTAGTCTGCTGATCACGAGCTCTGAGGAAGCTGTCCATTCTCACATGTAATATGTTTTATGAAGAAGAGGAAGAAGCACAGATTCCAATGAAAGCGGAGCAATCAGCTCTCAGACGCCCCCTGACACCACACCCAACACTGTGAGGCTTTGCCGAAGTGGGGGACCCTTCAAAGCGGCTAGTGAATTTGTCCCGCCCATGCTGAGGTCTGTGACCTCTGGTGGCCCACTGTCCTGCCCGTGACCTATCCTCCCATACCAGAAGCAAATTAGGGATCTCAATCACCGAGCTGAGCCCCAGAATGGCTGGGGAAGGGGGGCGAACCCCAACTGAGGTTGGGGTTCCATTAGCACCTGACCAGCTGTGGGTGATCTCAAGGGGCCTTCTTGTATCATTCTGGCTTGTCCCAGACCACCCGCTCCAACCATGAGCTTCAAGTGGCCCTTGAGTTTGTGATGAAATGCAAGGTGTTGTCACCCATAAGTCACACTCTCTTGAGTCTAAAATCCGACTTTCAACCAAAAGGCCACTGTGTTCACGCAGTGCCCAGTGTCACAGTCAAAGAAAGTATGTCAGAAAGCAATTTGAACCCTTTCTTGGTCTTTCAAGAAAACGAGGAAGCAAGAGGGAGGAAGGGAGAGATATTCTTTTTTTTTTTTTAATCTTTACTGTTGAAAGTATTACATATGTCCCCCTTTTCCCCCATTGACCTCTCCCAGCCTGCCCCTGCCCCCCACCCCAGGCCTTCGCCACCCTATTGTCTGTGTCCATGGGTTACACATATACGCATACAAATTCATTGGTTGATCTCTTCCCACCTGCCCACTCTCCACTGCCTTCCCTCTGAGGTTTGTTCAGTGCTTCTATGTCTTTGGATCT